CTCCCCTACACTACTCACCTCCTCCTCCTCCATCTGTTTAGAGATCTCGTTGATTTCCTTGCCATCCAGTTCTTCCAGAAGTTTGAGCAGCTTCTCCTCACACAAAGACAACTGGTCCAGGACATACTCGTCCGACGTTGGAGCAATCTGAGCTGTTGGAACATGTCCCTTATTCTACAAATTCAAATGTTTGTCAGATAACTCATTGTTTTCAATATTTTATTATATTGTTACGTTGCATACTATTTAATTATCCTTATTTTATCTTTACAGATATCAAATTAGGAATTCATGACTTCATAACAAATATTTATTTATTTAACTACACATCTTGTTTCTTTCACATACATCACATTTATATCATTATACTTGAACAAGTTGACAGCCTTGACATTGTGTTATTTGTGACTTACAGCCCTGATGGTGTAGTTTATGATTCACAGCTTTGAGATGGTGTTGTTTGTGTTGCTTATGCTGATACTTGTCGTTTGAAGATTACAGAGGAGCGACACCCGACTTCAAAGCCTGTCAGTTTTACCGTTACCTGACCAACAGGTTCTTCTGATGTACATCAAAGGATGAAACTAGCTTTCTCATTTATCCACAGAATGGTGCAAGCTGAGTCTTCAATTTAGCTATGACATATTCCAGGGGGACAGAGAGTTTGAAAATCAGCGTAACCCCTGGAGTATAGAGGATGGTGTAGTTTGTGACTTACAGCTTTTAGATGGTGTAGTTTGTGACTTACAGCTTTTTAGATGGTGTAGTTTGTGACTTACAGCTTTTAGATGGTGTAGTTTGTGACTTACAGCTTTTTAGATGGTGTAGTTTGTGACTTACAGCTTTTAGATGGTGTAGTTTGTCAGTGAGGTGTTCCACTCCAGCCTTCACGGACACCATGATGGTGCTATTCCTGTGGAGTGTCTCCTCCGTCTCTTCCTGTCTACCCTGCTCCTTCTGTAGCTGGCCCTGGAACTCCTCCAGCATCCTCTGACCACTGTAACATTATACTCAGACTATAACCCCTGACCAATGTAACATTATATACAGACTATAACCCCTGACCAATGTAACATTATATACAGATTATAACCCCAGACCAATGTAACATTATATACAGACTATAACCCTTGACCAATGTAACATTATACTCAGACTATAACCCCTGACCAATGTAACATTATATACAGACTATAACCCCTGACCAATGTAACATTATATACAGACTATAACCCCTGACCACTGTAACATTATACTCAGACTATAACCCCTGACCAATGTAACATTATACTCAAGACTATAACCCCTGACCAATGTAACACTATATACAGACTATAATCCCTGACCAATGTAACATTATATACAGACTATAATCCCTGACCACTGTAACATTATATACAGACTATAACCCCNTGTAACATTATATACAGACTATAACCCCTGACCAATGTAACATTATATACAGACTATAACCCCTGACCAATGTAACATTATATACAGACTATAACCCCTGACCACTGTAACATTATACTCAGACTATAACCCCTGACCAATGTAACTTTATATACAGACTATAACCCCTGACCAATGTAACATTATGTACAGACTATAAACCCTGACCAATGTAACACTATATACAGACTATAATCCCTGACCAATGTAACATTATACTCAGACTATAATCCCTGACCAATGTAACACTATATACAGACTATGACCCCTGACCAATGTAACATTATATACAGACTATAACCCCTGACC